AGAAGAGAATAAATTTAGCATGTAAAATATATTAAGTATTATAGTTTAAAAAATAATAAATTATAAAATTTTTCCGTGGCACCTTGTTGAATTATACTAACGACAGGATTACAAGTCGAAAGTAATTAAACTCTAATATTACCAGCCTTCATTATTGCTACTCATTTAAGCTAAACTATTTCCAGCATATTCAACTAGCAAACACAAGGTATTCTAACGGTTAACGAGTAGCAAACAACAGTGTATGGATATGTTTCAATTTCGTATCTGATATTTAGAATTTATCTTTTGAATATTAATTTCCATAGACTTTATTCCTGACCAAATTACTTTACTTCTTCACTCGTCGTGAGTTTTATATTTTCTTTATTTTATTAGTTCTATTACGCTGTTGTACGGAAATGTTAATGATTCTATCCTGACCATCTTCATGTTTCTTAAATTCATCACGTCTTAAATATAGTAAAAAATTATAGAGTTGTCTAGTCCTATAAAAGTACGTAATGTTATGTACATTCTATTACTGGTTACTCGTGACTTTACATAAGATTTAATGAAAAATATACCGCGAAATATTAACTTAGAACACCGATAACGAAGACCGAAACCAACGTAACTAGGACAATTTTGAGCCAAGTCTAATTTTTGTGTTATATGCAATAAAGATCGAAAAATTGATATAATACTAATTTTAATAAAATAATCAGGTCGAAACCGAACCATTGACATCCACGTCCATCTCAAGTTTAGAATTATTTTTGTTTTCTCTTTCTCATCGTACGACGACGAAGTGGGCAGAATTAAAAGAATTTAAATTTTATAGATGACTGTAAAAATATTTATACAATTAAAGCACTTATTAAATAATTAAAAATAAATCGTAATAAGTATTAATCTGTATAAAATAATTATTAATTTGTTTAACAAATAAATTTTACTTTGTTATATGATTTAATCCGTACTTATAACTTAAATCCAAAAGAAAAATTTGAATTCAATATACAAAATGAAAGTGCACTACGTCACCCCAAAACCAAAAGGAAAAACTTTGATTAAGCCACTAATAAATAAATAAAGGATTTAAAAAAGAAAGAAAGAGAAAAGCCATCAACTTCTTTATTGCTGCAGTTAAGAAGCATTTAGGCTTTAAAATAAATAAACATTGCCCTTTCTCCTTCATTCCTTCTTACTTACCTTTTTCTTTGGTTTCTGGGGTTTGGTGTTTTGAGTTTGTGGTTTTGATCTGCTTCTTTGGAGGTTAAAACTTGTAATTTTAAAATTTAGGTACTCTTTGAATTCTTCCTTCGAGAGAGAGAGATTTATGGGACTGAATTCTAAAGATTCTGTTGTTTGTTAAGGAAGAACCTGTTGAAACCTGCAAAGACTCTGGTTCGTTCTTTTTACTTTCCAATTATGAATTAAACTGATATTTTCTCTTTTTGTGAGTATAGAATTGTGAACTTAGAGTATTATCTAATTGTATGTCTTTAATGCAATGAGTGTTGATTCAGTTGATTAATAGACAGGTGAAAGCAAAATGTTTCTTTGGCTCTATGTATTTTGCTGCTTAAAATGAGTATTGTGTGTTGTTAAAAGTTCTTTGTTCCCTTGTTGTGGGGCTTATATTTCTGTGCGTGTTGCTTGGGACTTGGTTCCCTATAAAATGCAATTTCCCTGTCAAAATTTTGTCTAGCTGGCACAAAAAAGAATTTAATAGTTGCTAAAGCTAACTTCTGATTTTCTGAAGTGGTAAATTTTTTATTTCCAAGAAGTTTGAAAAGAAGATGAAATTTTTGTAGCCGACGTCTATCTGAAAACAGCCTCTCTACCCCTCGGGTAGAGGTAAGGGTTGCGTACACACTACCCCTCCCGGACCCCACTTGTGGGATGTATTGGGTCGTTGTTGTAGTTGTTGTTGAGAGAAGTTGAAGTATAAGCTTATAAAAAAGGAGATCCTTTTGATATAAGAACAAATAAGGAAGTCGGATTAAAGTCTGAGGATGATGGTTGGCATTAATTGATTTTGCCATGGTGAAAAAGTGAGTTGTCCTAAGAAGGTTTTGCTGAATTTTGCTTTGTTAGTTAATATGTTTTTTAGTTAAATCTTAAGTTAAGAAACTCTTAATATTGTTGATTGAGTTGGATAAATGAAAGTATCCTTCCAAGTTCTGAGTAATAAGTTTATCAGATTGGTTATAGTTTTTTGTACTAATTGTTTGTAGTATGTATTATGTTAAAATGATTATTTTTTGTATCAGGTTTCGCTGGCCGTGTCGGAGCAAGTGGGTATACCTCATTTCATGTCT